CAACCAAAAGGTGATTTCTTTTTCTTTGGGTCCTACTTTTAAATTTATTAAGGGCTCCCTGTAGGACCCATCCACATAAAAGAGCCCCTACCCCCTATTCTTTCTCAAAGGCCATAAGGGGAATTATCTTCTTTCCCTCCGGACATTCTTGATTGAAATGTGCTGACTTCCCACACTGGTAGCATCTGTTCTCTTCCTTTCTCCCTGAGGCTATGAGCTTGGCCTTCCTTTCTAGAGTTTCCAACTCTTTGAAAAGTATTTTTCTCTTGAGTAATCTGCCTGATTGTGGACAACATGATCTTAACTTTTTGTTTCCCTTTCTTCATCTTGTCTCACATAAACCTTTTGCACCTCTCTTAATAATTCCTCCAAGGTTTTGTACCTCCGGTTTTCTATCTTTTGTTATTTCTTTACAGTATCTAGCCAACAATTGGTCACAAAATGAAGTTTTAGCATTCCCTGTCCCAGGGGGTCATTTAACTTTAAACTTGAATATTTTCTCATTTGGTCTGTTAGCCTGTGAAGAAAGTCAGCAGGTCCCTCATTCTTTCCTTGTTGTACATCAAAGGCTTTGGCTAGGCTTTGGGACTGGGGAACAGATTCCTGGATTCCTTTATTGATCATATTTCTCAAATCCCAATCTCCCTTCTGTTGGCAGGATCGTTATTATTCCAATGAGGGTCCTCAAGGGGAAATTTCCTGTCTGCAGGCTGAACGCTGGGGCTTTCTTTCCCATGTGGCCATGGCAGCCTTCCCAGTCATAGCTCTGTCCTCCCCAGAAAATAGGATCCCCAAAATAGACATAAGTTCTACCTAGGTGTAAGTTTGAGGGCCTAGTCAAGTTGATCCACAACTTCATGTGGGTCTTCTAAAAGTGATTTTAATTCTCTCTTTAAATTTTAGACTTCTGTGCCACTCAGTGTGGCTTCAATAAAACCAGTTTCCACCTCCAGTTGGTACCTCTCTGAGTGGTAAAAGGTCTGTGAATGTATTTTGGGTGATGGGTGAAAGGAGAGATTCTGAATATCCCTCTGACATTGTTGGAGTTCTCTTCTGAGCCCCAAAAAGGATGAACCGTGACTTGAAGGTGGGGCCAAAGCTGACAGGGAGTCACTTGGAGGCTCAGAAGGCAGCTCAGGTTGGACCTTCAGAAGGCTCCTGAGGCAGAGTCTCCATCCTGATCTTTGGATTCTGCCTGAAAAGTCAAGGCTTCTGGATTATAAGGGGGAGGTAAACAGGAAAGGGGGTCCCACTTGAGGGAGGTTTCCTTCGGCTCAGTTTTATCCCCCTTTCCTAATTTTGAGGGAAAGAGAACCATGGGTCCCTGTCTTCAACGGAGGGCATGCTCAATCTCTTCCTGACTCCCGGAACTCTTGTTTAACATAGTCAATAAGTAATTGGGAGACCCAGCCCTCATCTGATCCAAATTTTGGCCAGAAAATGACAGGTTTGAGAATGGGTCCCTGGGTCCAGATAAAGCAGCAATATTTGATCATTTGCTGCTTCTTTTTACCTTTGGTTCAAGGATTATCAGACCAATATTTTAACATCTGTCCTAGTGGACTGTCTGATGGGATTTTATTTTTAGTTTCATCTTCCTTAGAGCTCTTTTTACTTGTGGTGTCCCCATCCCAGTCTACCTGGTTGGTGAGAGCACCCAGTGGATGCTCAGCCTCCCTCATTTTCTGGAGATGTCTCGCACACTACCCCATGCATTTCTTCCTTCTCCCACCAATTCCCTTGTGTGACGAGATCCACTTGGTGGTGCTACTTGGCAATAAGCAGAGGGATGAAAGCCCCTGACTAGGTCCTCATGGACTGCCAATAAGCTGTATGTAGTTGCCTGGGTATCTACGGAACTGTGGATTGGGACTCCACACTCACCCCACGTCTCAGACATGTTTCATTCACTCTCACACAACTTCTGAAATCTTCCCTGACCACCAAGGAATACCTCGCCAATTGGTGATATGTCTTAACCTTGGTCCGTGCACGGAATCGTTTGTTTGCCGCAGTGCTTGCTAAGGCCCTTTTCCCCTGGGTTGCCGAGATAACTCAGTCCCAGAATGAATTTCCAGTCCAAGAGTGCTGGTCACCCAATACCTCAGCGCCACCACCACAAGGTGGAGGGATGCATCTCCCTTGGGAGAAAGGACTTCCCAGCATCTCTCCCGGATGGAATTATCCTGGACAAGCCTCCCAATTGTTAGAAATAAGACCCCTGAAGACCACTGGGGCCACAACTGAAGACACAGAAATGGAGAATTGTCCAGCAAGGCAAAATTTACTTCTGCAGAAGGGTGTGCAGGTGCACTGGCACAGCAAGCACAAAGAGCAGGGAGTTTATCCTCCTTTTTATTCCTGATGCAGTGGGCCCTGCCCCTGTACCCAGATTGGTTGGCTGGGTGTACAATCTGCTCGCGATTGACTAATGTTACCTTGGAGTCTGGGAGTGGGGTAAGCAGTAATTTTGGCATGAAAATGGAGTTCAGTGAAGAACAAGAACCCAGAACTGCAAACAGCTAAGATGGTGACACACTTTGATAGAAAAGACTGATTCCCTCACACTTAGCACCTGAATCTTTCACATTCCTAGGTGCGCTCCCTGGTTGGACTTTGATCAGCAGGAGCCTAGCACTCTCCCCTCCCCAGGTGTTGGCTGGGGGGGACCCTCAATGCACAGCTGGAGGGGAGTTCTCTCTCCCACCCTGCAGGTGCTGCAGGGATCTGGCTGTGCTGCCCCCTCCTGCTCCTTGTCCTCCAGGATGCTCTCCCACCGTCATCATCCCTCATCTCCCTCCCAAATTTGAAGGAGGGCCTTGGTCACTGAGCTGACTCCATTTGTCCTTTTCTGACTCTGTTTTTGCCTCTTTAACCTTTTCCTCCTGAGTCTCCACTCCACAGTCTGGACTCCAGGAAGGGCAGGACTGATAGATAAACATCTTGTGACAAGAGCCATTGTTGCCCCCAGAGACAACAATGCCTTTCTAATTGTGACCAAGCACAACCTGACCATCCTGAGATAATGATCAACAGACGACATCTTTAACCAGAGACTGCTTACTTATGCACACCTCTTGTCCGCTGCCCCAGTTCTTCCTCTACTTAAACCTTAAGCTCATGTCATACCTGGAAGATGATCTTGGAGTCCCTGAATCTCTTAATCTGTCTTCCCAATGTGGCCATTTTCTATTAAATCTGTTTTCTCTGCTGTTCATTACTCATGTCTTTAATTGGAGTCTGGGGACAGGTGGCCAAGCCTACTCCAGTTGACTCCTAGAGCTGAGGCTTTCCTCCCTAAAAACTCTGGATATATACTCAGTGAAGATTTTCTCTATGTCACCTTCCCAGGAGGGGAAATGTTGAGGAGGGGTCACAATTACACCTAATTTCATGAAGTATGGCTAAATTCTTTTTCAGATGGTTGTAAATGTTTGTATGTGTCTCACAGATCTGGGCTGTGCAGAATCAAAGGTGTTGACCTCTTAAAGGGGCATGAGACAGATGCTGGGCACTTTGAATTCTCTGTGCCGCAGAGAAGTAGGCAGGAAAAAGTGCTGTCACCTGGGCAGAGACCATGATCACAGGCAACCTTGCCCACATTTTTTTTTTAAAACATCTTTTGTTCCTCAGGTTGGATACTTCTCTTTGACCTGTCTTCCTTTCTCCTGATCTCTCCTTTGCCACATTCACCTTGCTGTTCAAGTCCATCCCCTAACTTTTGCCACATTCACCTTGCTGTTCAAGTCCATCCCCTAACTCTAAATATCAGCTATTTTCATCTTTTTCAACAGAGTATTTCAATCATAAGTTGATGTGGTTTAATTTTTATTGATGACTGTGTTTAGTGACTCAATTAAAACTTCCTAAAGTGAACAATTAGCTTTTGTGTGCCGAGCTGAGCCAACACTTATTTGCATAGACTGGGGGTCAAGTTTGTTGACCTCCCACCTGGGTCCATCACCTCACTGCTGTCTTGACTTCTTGTGTACCTGAGGGTGAGAAAAGGCAGACCTGCCTGAATCCCATGACCAGGCTGTGGATAATTCCTGGGTGCTCATGACCTTCATAGCTCTCCAACACCTTCTTGGTGTTTTTCATTTGCAAATCTAAGCAGCAGAGCTGTCCCTGGACCTTTAATGGAGACACTCATATCCAGTGATCTGAGCAAAACTGACCACAGGCTCCAGAGGAAGGGTAGTTCAGGCAGGAAATAAATTTACCTAGATGGTGGCCATTGGACTGAAGACTGTGTCTACCTGCTTACTCATGGTTGATAGACCTGGGAAGCACAGAGCCACACCAGCCTGTTGATTGTGTTGGATAGAGAGCAGTGAGGTGACCTATGACTGCCCATTGCTCCCCAAGTTTATCTTCCACTGTCTGCTGGTTGCTGACATGCCCCTCTCCCTGACTCCTCCCCCAGCCTCAAGGGTTGGGTACATTCTGGAAGTTGTAGAGGATTCACACCCAAAAAGGAGAGCCAGGTTCTAGGCCACCAGAAGGGAACCCTTCATTCTCAAAGACAGTTAATGATCCAGGTAAGGATGGAAGGGGGCCTGGCCTGGGAACCAGGAAGATATCCTCCTTATAAGCACTCCCCTCAGCTTCCCCCTCCCTGCTCTTCCCTGTGTCATGCCTTCTCAAACTACCTCTTCATCCTTGGTGTCCTGTGTTACAAAACAGAGCCCAGGGGTCACTTACTATCTCTTTGGATCTCAAACCTGGTCCTGCCAGGAACCCAACACCTTGGATCCAGCTGTTAACACCTGCCCCACTGGTCTCTTTCACCCAGAAAGCTGTCTTTGTCTGCCAGGAGATGGGCTGCCCTCTCCCTGCCCATTTCCTTTATATGAGAGATAAATGGGCTCTGAGAGCTGCCAGGAGAGGGCAGAGAGACCAGGAGAGTGAGAATACCTCCTCCTTCAGACCTTCCATCCACAAACACCAGGTCCAGCTGCTGGTCCCATTAACTGGGGCCCTGCGCCTTTCCTCTGAAGATGCTGTGGCTGGTGCTTCTGACCTTCCCATGCCTGGGGGGCTCCACACCTGTGACTCAAGGTAAGTCCTGACCTCACCCCATGCCCTCCTGTCCCAGGACCTCACCATCGCCCCTAGGGCCCACAGGACCACCCATGAAGACCAGGGAACCGTTCAGTTGCCAGGAGCCTCACTGACCCCTGAGCCCTGAGAACCTCCACTTGGTCCCCTGATGGCCCCTCCACTTGCTTCCCCAGAGCCTGCCCCAGGACCAGAGCTGGTGGGTATCATTGGGGGCTGCCCTGTCTCAGCCAGGAGGTTCCCTTGGCAGGTCAGCCTGAGGTTCTACAGCAGGAAGAGTCACCGGTGGGAACACATGTGTGGCGGCTCCCACATCCACCCTCAGTGGGTGCTGACCGCTGCCCACTGTGTGGAGCCGTGAGTGGAACCTGCCCCATCCCCTTGGTGTGGAGCAGGCAGGGAATCCAGAGGGAGGTGGGGTGCTTTGGGCAGCATCCGGGGATGGAGGCAGGACTTCTGGGCCCCTCCCCAGATTGCAGAGGGAGTCTTTGGGCTGATTGATGTCTGTGGCTCCCCTGAGCGTGGCCTCCCCTGAGAGGCTCCTGGTGGCTTCTCCCCAGGGGGGGATCTGGAGGCTTGCGCCTTCAAGGTCCAGGTCGGGCAGCTGAGGCTCTATGAAGAGGACCGACTGACGAAGGTGGTCCAGATCATCCGTCACCCCAAGTACAACGAGAGTCTGTCTGTCCTGGGGGGCGGGGACATTGCTCTGCTGAGACTGGAGGGTGCTGTGAAGTTGTCAGAGAGCGTCTACCCAGTCTCCCTCCCAGATGCGTCCCTGACAGTCTCCTCGAAGAAGATTTGCTGGGTGACCGGCTGGGGTGACATCAGAGTGGGAGGTAAGAATTAAGGACCTTTGCATGGGGACATGGGTTGAAGTTGGGAAGGTGGCGGGGACGAGGGTGTACCGTGGGTACCATGATTCTTCATCGGTGCTTCTTTCTGAGACAGCCTTGTACAGGGCCTGGGGGTTTCACAAAGTCACAGTTCCTCATCCTGGGGCTGCCTCAACAAGGTCACTGTGTAGGTGCTCAGAACAGAAGTGTTTGCTCTCAGCAGTGGAGGCTGCAAGTCCACAATCCGGGTTCCAGGTGGCTGGCTTCTTTGACAGACCCTGAGGGATGATCCTCTCCCATCCTACTGGTGACGCAGGGGTTCCTGGGCTGTGGCCATTTCCCTCATCTCTGCCTCTGTTGCATGTGGCCCTGCAGCCGTGTCCTGATTTTGCTCAGCTCAGCTTATCCCCGTAACACAACAGTCACCGGGTTTAGGGTCCCTCTAATGCAATGTGACTCATCTTAACTCAATGACAATTGCCAGGACCCTGCTTTCAAATATAGTCACAACAACAAGTAACAGGGCTTAGGGCATGGATTTTTTTTTTGAGGGACACCGTTCATTCCACACCAAGTGTTGGATGGACTTTGTGTCCAGTCCTTAACACCCTCTTCCAATGGCTATGTTCCCCCCGACACAGTTTTTTTTTTTTTTTTTTTGGCAGCACTGGGTTTGAACTCAGGGCCTCATACTTGCAAGGCAGGCACTCTTACTGCTGGAGCCACTCCATCAGCCACTTTTTGTGATGGGTTTTTTTCAAGATAGGGTCTCAAGAACTATTTGCCTGGAATGGCTTTGAACCGTGATCCTCCTGATCTCTGCCTCCTGAGTAGCTGGGATTACAGGCGTGAGCCACCAGCACCCAGTTACTGCTCAACTCTTGGCAAGAAGCAGGACCCAGATCCCCAGGCCTTACTCTGCTTCTCCCTGCAGAGCCACTGCCCTGGCCCTTCCACTTGCAGGAGGTGAAGGTGAAGGTCATGCGGAACAAGGACTGTGATCACACCTATCGCTTTGCCTTCCCTTCTAAACACATCCACCAGTTCATCAAGGATGACATGCTGTGTGCTGGAAGCTCAAACTATGGCCCCTGTCCAGTGAGGCCCCAACCTACCCTCCATCTTCTCTCCCCTCCTGGCCCAGGAAACTGGGACCCACCAGCCCTGGTGCTGTGGGGCACAGGAAGCACTCACTGAGTCCTGCTTCTCCCCACAGGGTGACTCCGGAGGCCCCCTGGTCTGCACCTGGGTCCAGGTGGGCGTGGTGAGCTGGGACAATGTCTGTAGCCATTGTTCCCTCCCTGCAGTGTACACCAGAGTGATGAGCGTCACGTCCTCGATCCAACATTATGTCCCCCAGTTCTCTGGGCTCTAGACGGGGCCACGTGACGAAAGAGACCCCCCTACTGCAGTCTTCCTTGTTGGTGCCCCCTCCAGGTCTTTCCCTGTTTCAGCCTCACCATCCAACATCCAGTGTGTCCACTCCTGGCTCCTGCTCCAGGTCACTGCTGCTCCCTTTAGCTTCATTGCCTTCCTGTCCTTGAGGGACAGACAGGAGCGGCCCTGAAGGCTGGTGTCTCCCCTAAAAGGGGTGTGTACAAGAAGGATGAATCCTTGGTCTCCTACCTTCTGCTCACCCCATGGGTCTCATTAAACTGAGCAAAGTAGTGTCTATGTGGCCCAGTGCATTTGTCCTGGTGGGTCGTCCTCTTGGGATCTCTGAGCTCTGCCCTCCAGGTGGAGCTACATTGAGCTGGGTGTGGGCATGGCATGTTGGGGCCCAAGTGCTCAGTCTGGCTGGTGGCCTCCTTATTCCCCTTTCTCCCATCTTCTCTCCTTCCCTCATTATCAACCTGTGGGCCAGGTACAGAGGTGGATAAGATGGTGGCTTCATGGTGGATGTCATAGCCACAAACTGCCATGTGTAGTGGAGACGTCGGCATGGGTGTCCCCAGGCTTTCCCAATACAAGCTGCCAGTGCTAGGCGGGTCAGATTCTTTTGGGACAGAACTATGATGGGGTCCCAGTGATGTGCTCAGCAGGCTAATCAGTCCAGGTGGCAAGAGTTTTGGCTCCAATTGTAGGTTCTCATCCTGGCTTTTGACTTTTAAAGGAATCAGAGCCTCCAGAGTGGGGACACTTTGTTTGGCCTTTTTGCTCTGGACTCTGGTTCAGGGCTCCCACCCCACAGTTTGCCTTGCTGGGTGTGGCATTTGCTCTGGGAGCCTCAACCTTGGAGGCTTCTGTACTGGGTAGTGATGTGTGCGTTCTTGGGAGTGGGGCGTCCCGTTCCTACAGACTCTGCTGGAGTCAGGGGCAGAAGGATCGATGCCTTCGGTGATTGATATGGGCTCTAACAGAGAGCAGGGGCCCAAATCCTTCAGAGGAGACCCTTCCCATCCCAGAGGATGGGGAGAGGGAGTACAGGCCATTGGACCATGCACACCAGGTGTTTATCTGTAACCCACAGTTCATCTGCCAGCTACCCTGCTTTCTTTCCATCTAGTCAGTCAGTGTCCAGAGCCTCAGACTAAAGGCGTCCAATAATGGGGTCTGTCAGCCTCTGTATTTCCTTGGGAAAGGGCCAAGACTCCCTGCTTGCCTGGACTTTATGTCCTGGGGCTTTGTCCACTGGTCACTTGAAACATTTCGCCTAAGGCCCCTCCCAGGCCTCTTGCTTGAAAAGCCTGGATCTAGGGGTGACCCTGGTGACAGGAAGTGGCCAGTTTGCTGGGCTGTTCAGGGTGGTGTAGGAGGCAGCAGCTGGGGTGTTTAACCCTGTCTTTGCTTTCCTGGGGGCTGATCTCTGGCCCCATGTTCCCCATCTTTGTGTGTGTGTATGTGTGTGGTACTGGGGTTTGAACTCAGGGTCTACCCTTCAGACCTTCTATTGTGATGGGTTTTTCGAGATAGGGTCTTGCAAACTATTTGCTCAAGCTGGCTTTGAACCATGATCTCCTGCCTTCTGCCTCCTGAGCAGCTGGGATTATACTCATGAGCCACCTATGCCCGTCCCATGTTCCCCATCTTAACCCAGCCCTGCAGGCCGAGGGAGAGCACTAAAGACCTGACTGGGGAGAAGGACCAGGCTCTCACTCTCGATCCTGGGGTCCTGAGGCTCTGGTCCTGTATCTTGGGCTGCATGGGCCCCACAGCTTCTCCTCTAGGGTTTATAGGCTCCTTGGCTCCACTGTGATGCAGTATGAGCCTGGCAGTGGCCTGAGGCTGGGGCTTGGGTTGGATAATGACCACTGTTGCTCATTGTTTAATTGTCTGTGTTTGCAAAGCTGTGTCCAGCAGGCCAAGGAGGGTCTTGGATGGGGCTGATGACTGCTTAGGGTGGGTCTCCATAAGGGGCCCAGACAGGGTCTGGGGGGCTGGGTTTCTCATTTTCAGTGTTTCTTAGTGTTTTTGTGCTGAGGAACCCATGCATAGCCACTTATTCATGTCATACTTCTGTTTTTCACATCATAAAAATCAGACTGCAAGTTGGTGCAAAATTCAGTACCAGCATTTTGGAGTTCTTTGGCTCACTTGTAGCACTAGAAGGAATCATCAGAGGGGTAGAACATTTTAGACACCCATGGAGAGGCTGCAGTCCACTCCGCTCTTCTTGTGTTCCCAATGTCCATCCCAAATGAGGGCCTGAAGCCAATGGCTTGAGAGATTTTTGTTCTGGTGCCCTAGGGCACAAGTCTGCTCTCAAGGTCAGGTTTCCCCCACTTTTAATCAGGTATACAGAGCAGGTACAGTCCTTGGAGAGAAGACAGGTGTGTTCATCCCCATGTGTGAGCCCCTGTCTCCAGCAAGTGCATCCTGCCATCTCAAAAACAACTGGCAACCCTAAAAAAGGAAGAGGAATGGGAAATGGAAAGACAGAATCTCCACGTTCTGGGATTCGAGAATGGAGGTCTTAGAAACAATCTTACAGGTGTTGTAAAGATGGATCTCAGTAAATGTTGATGGACAGGCTGAACAATAATTAGCACTGGCTCCAGCAAAGGAGAAGACCTTTAACCCAATATAAGTTTCTGATGGGGAAATTGAGGCTCTGAGGGAGGAAACGACAAGCTTAGGGTCACATTACTGAGTGTGACACCAACTTAGTACCGGAACAAACGATCCTAGTGAGGCTCATCCCTAAGTGGACACTGCCCAGGGTTAAATTAATCTCATAGTTGCTGGGCACTGGTGGCTCATACTTGCAATCCTAGCTACTTAAGAGGCTGAGATTGGGAAGATCATGGTTCAAGACCAGCCCAGCAAATAGTTCGTGAGACCCCCATTTCCAAAATAACCAGAGCAAAAAACAAAATGGACTGGAGTTGTGGTTCATGTGGTACAGTGAGTGCCTTCTTTGCAAGCATGAAGCCCTGAGTTCAAACCCCAGTCCCAAATCTCAGTCGGGTGGGAGGAATCATGGGTCCACCACAGATTCATAAGAAGTCCTAACAGCAAGAAGGAAGTCCCTCCTCTCTGTTTTCCAGCACAAACCTACAGTCATAGGAATACATGGTTCTTGGCTTTTCATCATTCTGTATTCCTTTTAGAAATTCTCATCAAAGTCAGTAAGAGAAAATCCCCCTGGGATTTATCTTGACTCACAGAATGTGTAGGTTTCTTTGGGAAATCATAACATCTCCCAGTATGGTAATCCTTTTCTAGCCAAGACTGCCTCATTGCTTCTTTTGTAGTTGGTTTGCGTCTTTTGCATAGTCTCTTTAATTGGGTCTTTGCTTTTCTCATTTTGGAGTTTTGAGAAAGAACTCTTCATATGTTCTGGGTACAAATACTTTGTTTTGGAAATATTTTCTCCTTGTGTGTAGGTTGGTTTTTCTTTTCTTAAGGGTGTTTCCTGGTGAGTGTAAGCTTTTAAATTTGATGAAATCCAACTCATAATAATTTAAAAAAATTAATCATGCTATTTTTTGGCCAGTTCTTCCCCATCTTTTATTATCAACCTTTTCTTTTTTTGGCACTGGGGTTTGAATTCATAGCTTATGCCTTAAGCCACTCTACCAGCCCTTTTTTTTGTGATGGGTTTTTTCAAGCTAGGATTTGTTTGCCTGGGCTGACTTCAAACCATGATCCTCCTGATCTCTACCTCCTGAGCAGCTAGGATTACAGATGTGAGCCACTGCTGCCTGGCTCAAACCTTTTCTCTTTAGAACCACCTTATATCTGGATTTTTTTTTTTTTTGGTAGTACTGGGGCTTGAACTCAGGACCTTGATGCTTACTAGTGTTGGGAGCCTAAAGGACAGATGAGACAGTCAGTATCCCATCCCCCATGGAGAACACTATGGGCCTTGAACCCTGAGGAGCTCATAAATCTGCATTCCTGCACCCTGAGGAGGAGATACATGGCCTCATAAATCTGCCACGGGGCTGATAGACAGGATGCTCTCAAGGTTGTCTCCCCTTCTCCCCCATAAGGGGCAAACAGACCAGCTCATCTAAGAGAGCCTGCGCGCTCAAATCCACGGCCAATGGAAAGAACCCACTTAACCCATACCCTAACCCAGAGTTAAAGCGGCCATAAAAAGCCCCAGTCTTCACCTGAGCAGGGATTCATGGGTTTCCGGGCTCTGCAGCCCTGCTCCAGCTGTAACCTTTCCTTTCTCTCTAATAAATCCTACTTTGTGTGCCGGCCTTGTCTCACGAGTCAGTCTGCTGTCTCATGAGCCAGTTCTCTGGCCTGTGAAGGAAAGAACACTGGACATCAGCACACAACATTTTACACCGCCAGGTAACACTAAGCAGCCATTCTACCACTTGAGCTGCTCCACCAGCCCTGGATTTGGCTTCTTATAGCCCCTTCAATATTTGTATCTTAACTGGCAAGCTTATTCCTTCTATACTAGAATAGTTAACATACTTTAATTCAATTGTATTTATTTTTCTTCCTTTTTTGTTTTTACTTTTTTCCTAAATAGACATCTACAATCAGATAAGCTTATCAGACCCTCTGTGTTCTGATCCCTTCTCCTCCCCAAACCCATCACCCTGATAACCAAGTTAATTCTTGGTGATTGTGGATATATTTCCTTTTTGTCTTCGGTGTTATCTATTTTCTAAAGGTAACAGTAACTTTGATGGTCTTTAATCTCCTTTGCAACTGTGTAATTATCTGTCCTTTTACCTCACAGTTTTATCTAAACTGTTTCAAAGAGTGTGAGGTGTGGAACGCCTGAGGATGTTCTCACTTTAGTCTCATCCTTGAACCGGCATGGATAAACATTCTGGGGTTATTTATACAAACTTTCTCACTTAAAAACATTCTCTGTTGTCAATTTGCATTCTGACACTGCTTCTTGTTTATGGAGATCTGGCTATGTAGCCAGGGCTGGCCCCCAACTCCTGATCCTCCTGCCTCATATTCCCAAGTGCTGGGACCACCATATCCAACCTGATTCACGGTTTGCCAAATGACTGGTGGTTTCTCAAAATGTGGAAAAAACACAAGATCCAGACTTCACCCCACTCACCCTGACCACAGCCCTCTCCTTCTTTAGAACATGACACGCTCTTGTACCTCAGCATCTGCCAGGAGCTGGCCCTGGAAGTGGACTTTTGGAAGGCAGGGCAGGGATGGTGCCAATGATGTGTGCACTAGGAAGCCTGCTTCCATTGTGGGTCCCTGGAGCTTCCTGTGCTGGGGAATTCTGGGAGCCAGAAGCACATGCTGGAGTGTTTCTTTCCTGAGGGACTGGGGAGCAGGACATGTACCTACGAGCTCCTGTGGACAGTTGGAGGTCCCAAGAAATTCCACCCTGTTCTGTTTAAGAGCAGAGCTGGCAGGTGCTGGGCCTGGAGGTGGAACTCAGTTGCACCAAGGTGGTAAGGCTGAGGGTGTGTGTCTGTGCTCTGCTGGGATACGCTCCAGGTAGCAAGGCTCCCTGTGCAATCAAAACTCATAGTTTGGGTTAAGGGTGTAGCTTAGGGGTACAGTGCTTGCCTAGTATGCATGAGGCCCTGGGCTTAATTTTCAGTACTGCCAAAACAAAGAAACAAATAAACAACAACTCCCCCCACGCAAAATAAAAAGAAACCCACCCCCCCCAGCATCTCAAGGTTTACATGTGATAAGAACCTGAACTTATACTCAGTTCCACAATAACAGAAAATAGGGGATCATGTTTGGCTGGCTGAGGCCAATGTTTGATGTGCAGCACTTTGAGTTGTCTCCCCTGGTGTGAATGAGATTTACACCAGGGGACACTGATATGAGGTGAGCCTGGGAGTCAGAACCAGAGCAGGAAGGGAAGCGATCTTCAGATGAGAGGGTATCCAAGTCCACGTGAAGAGCTGAGCTTTGCCCTGCTGGTCAGTGGTGGCCACAACTTCTCAGCCTGAGCAATGTGTCTGCAATACTGATGGAGCTTGTGAGAACACAGACCTGCTCACAGAAGCAGCCATCAATCAACGTATAAAAACTGGTGTCCTTCCTGGTCACTGGGGAAGTGCTATGTAGCACACTTGGGGCCCCTTTTTGCACTTCTTTAGACTGGAAAAACTAAAAACCACAATTATACCTAGTGTCTGGAGGCCCCAGAGAAACGAACACTCAGTACAATGGCAGGACAGACACCATTCCACTTGCTCTGCAGGGCAGATGGCTAGGGCTCAGGCAGTGGGAAGAGTGTGCTGCACAGCTAAGCGTTTCCACCCTGGTGTGTGGACTACCGGAAAATGGGGTCTGCTAGGGCTTGGTTTAAATGAAAATGCACCATTCACATTTGTGCTGGAAAGAGCCTGAAACCTCTTCCAGCTCGAAATGGATAGATCCCAATGGTGATCCACCCTACAGAGGAAAGATGTGCAAACCAGTGATGTTACTACCAACACAGCTCAGTGCAGACTCAGTGATGTGAGTGAACGACGGACTCTTAAGACCAGAGGGTGACAGGCTCTCAACATCATAGCTCCCCTTGTCAGGCTGGAATCTGTGGGCAACAGGGGCACAGAGTCCCTTCCCTGGGGACCATGGTCAGTCCTTTAAGTATCTCCAGCCCCAAAGGAAAAGGGGCTACCTGGGAAGGCCAGGTGATAGGGAGATGGGGTGATGACTCTGGGTCCATTGAGGGTATCAGGCTGAAAAAGTCCTGTGATGTGGTGCTGGGACCACAAATGGTCTTTGCTGGGACCTGCACACATGGTCTGTTGTTATGGTGATGTGTGTGGCAGGGGACAGACACACCCTGGCTGCAGCATCTAGGGATCTCGCTAGGTGGGAAACTTGTGCCTCAATGTGTGGCTTTAGTAGGTGCCAGCAGGGGCTTTGGGAGACCTGTCCTCCCTGCTACTCATCTCTAGTGTCTGCCTCAACACAATTCTGCAAACCAGGGGAAGGTAGACACCTTGCTGTCCCACAGGGGTGAGGTGAAGTTCTGGCTCAGCTGTGATGCAACTTGGACTTAGTCTGGGGTCTGAGATAGAGGTTGGGCAACACCTGCTGTTGCCTAATCTCTTCTTGCAATACCATGTGAGGGGCAGAGGTGAGCTTTGATGGGGCTTCAGACACAAAGGATTCATGGCACAAGAAGGGTCCTGAGTGTCCCCTCTTGGGTAAATGAGGAATGTGTGATACCTTATGTGAAATAAAAACATAGTACAACTTATAGGGGAATTCTGTTTTCACTTCTAACCAGGCACTGCGTCCTAATTTCCTTTCTAAAGTACACAGACCGGGGTCTACTCCAGTGACCTTGCTTTACCTTCATCACCAAATTAAAGATCCATGTCATCTAAATGCAGTCATGTTTTGAGGTCTTGGGTTTCAGGTTTAAAATGAATTTGGGGGGACACAATTTTGCCCATAACATGAGTCCACTCTTTGCTGAACCCTCAGACCCCTTTGTCTTTTAGGAAACTGGACAAAATATTCCTTTTGGCTCCTAGGTCTGGCTGTCTTCCCTCAAACCACACACCTCCCACACACTTAGCAAAACATCCTCAAATGCTCAAATTTTTCTAGAAGCAGGCTATGGTATCACAGAGGGCTTGTGGGGAATGGGAGATGGAGGGAAACTTCTGCACCTCTTGTCCCTGACTCAGAACCACAATATAGCACAGTCCCCCAGCAACCCACCCACCACATGTGGGTCCACAGATGCATCCCGGTTTCAAGAGGTGTGGGGATTAGAGGTTTCAAGAGGTGTGGGGATTAGAGGGGCCTGACGGAGGCATGCAGACAGGCCCAGGGACATCTGTCACTATTTAGGGACCCAGGCCCCAGCACCTGCCAAGTTTGGGAAATTCCGCTGAGAGTCCTGGCAGGGAGGAGCCTCTCTCCCTCCAGGTGGTCACCTTCCTGCCTCCCAGAGCCTGGGTGCCATCTGTAAGCCAACTCAGCCCATGGAAGGACCCTACTGTGTTGGGAGCTGGGACATTGGAGGTCAGCAGTGTCCAGGTTCATGCTACAGGGAGGCAAATGGGATATGGACCACCGTAGGCCTGCCCAGATAGTCCCAAGGAGGTGGCACTGGCAGCTTGGTCCCCCTCTTTCTCTTCCCTCACCTCCTATGCAGGAGGTCATTGTGTAGGGTGGACATGTCCCAGAGGTCTGCTCAGTGCCCTGACCCATGTCTACTAGAACTGCCTTATGGCCCCCCCAAGACCCTAGCCCACATCCTGGGCTGTCATGAGCTGAGGTGCTGGGACTCCTGTGGGCTGAGGGGCTGAAGCCACAGCTGGGGACAGAGGGTGCCCCTTTCAGAGTCCTTCCTACTGTGCCTGGGGTGTCAGCGCATAGAGGAGTGCACCCCTCAGGATGGGTTTCTCCTTTATCTCATCTCTTCTTTTCAAATTTGCAGCTGTGTCCTTCAGTTACAGGACATGCTTTGAGCACAGCACACCCCACCACTTGCCCCACCTGCTGGGAGCTGTGAACATGTGTTGACCCCAGTAAGAGAAGAGGGGCTTGGCCACCACAAATGCACTCCTGGAGCACAGCAGGGGTGCCTGTGCCCACATCCTGTGGGAGAAGGATAAATGGGGCCTCAGTAGCTCTGACAGAGGCAGAACAAAGCTGCTCCTGGCCCAAGAAGCTGGAGTTTGAAGCCCTTCTGCTAAGACTGCCCCAGGGTGCTGAGGCTGGTGCTTCTGACCCTCTCCTGCCTGCGGGACTCTGCACTTGTGACCCCTGGTAAGTTCTGCCTCCACCCCTGCTGCCAGGGCTCACAGGACCACTTATAGGGACCAGGGACACTTGCCAGGAGCCTCACTGACCCCTGAGCCCTGAGAACCTCCACTTGGTCCCCTGATGGCCCCTCCACTTGCTTCCCCAGAGCCTGCCCCAGGACCAGAGCTGGTGGGTATCATTGGGGGCTGCCCTGTCTCAGCCAGGAGGTTCCCTTGGCAGGTCAGCCTGAGGTTCTACAGCAGGAAGAGTCACCGGTGGGAACACATGTGTGGCGGCTCCCACATCCACCCTCAGTGGGTGCTGACCGCTGCCCACGGTGTGGAGCCGTGAGTGGAACCTGCCCCATCCCCTTGGTGTGGAGCAGGCAGGGAATCCAGAGGGAGGTGGGGTGCTTTGGGCAGCGTCCGGGGATGGAGGCAGGACTTCTGGGCCCCTCCCCAGATTGCAGAGGGAGTCTTTGGGCTGATTGATGTCTGTGGCTCCCCTGAGCGTGGCCTCCCCTGAGAGGCTCCTGGTGGCTTCTCCCCAGGGGGGGATCTGGAGGCTTGCGCCTTCAAGGTCCAGGTCGGGCAGCTGAGGCTCTATGAAGAGGACCGACTGACGAAGGTGGTCCAGATCATCCGTCACCCCAAGTACAACGAGAGTCTGTCTGTCCTGGGGGGCGGGGACATTGCTCTGCTGAGACTGGAGGGTGCTGTGAAGTTGTCAGAGAGCGTCTACCCAGTCTCCCTCCCAGATGCGTCCCTGACAGTCTCCTCGAAGAAGATTTGCTGGGTGACCGGCTGGGGTGACATTGAGTACAACAGTGGGTATCATGTCCGTTCTTTCTCCACTGTTGGGAGTTGGTGGGAGCCCTCAGCCCCTGGTTCTCACCTGGCTCCTCCCCACAGCACCACTGCCCCCACCCTACCACCTGCAGGAGGTGGAGGTCTACATCGTGGGGAACCAGGCCTGTGACTGGCGGTACAAGAATGCCTCCTTGGACAGCCTGGATAGGGTCATTAAGGACGACATGCTGTGTGCTGGGAGACAGGGACAGAATTTCTGCCATGTAAGGCTTGAACCTATCCTCCCTCCTCTGTCTCCTCTTGGCCTAGCAGCCCTGGTGCTGTGGGGTGCAGGGGAGCACTCGCTGAGTCCTGCTTCTCCTCACAGGGAGACTCCGGGAGCCCCCTGGTCTGCAGATGAATTGCACCTGGTTCCAGGTGGGGGTAGTGAGCTGGGGCAAAGACTGTGGTCATCACAACCTCCCTGGGGTGTATGCCCGTGTCAAGAGCTACGTGTCGGGGATCTATCACTATGTTCCCAGGTTCCCTGGGTCCTAGATGGGGCCTGCATGATGGAGGGAACTCCCAACCTTTCTTTTTGACACCCCCTGCTTCTCCAATTCCAATATGGTCTTCCCCTCCAGAGCAGTGAGACCTCCCTGCTCTCCTGGCCCTGGGTCTCCCTGAACTCTGGGAGGGAAGGGCTGAGGGTGGTGTCTCTCAGAAGTGGAGTGGATGTGAGATGAGTGGCCAGGCCCCGGCCTCTTGTTCACCCTCTGTTTCCCATTAAACTGTGGATTGTTTCATTGATCTCTGTTTGAACTTTAATCCCAGCGGTGGACATGGTGGGAGGGGGAAGGGCTGAGCTAGGAGAGTGGGAATTCCCTGGTGAGAATCATAAGACACCAGTGCTGGGAAGATAAGGGGCCTGATAGCCACACATTCATCTGGTGCTATCAAAAGAGGTCAGACCTACAGCCTGGATGGTCCTGGGCTGCACCCAGGTTCTAGAAATCACCCCAGCACTTTCATCCCTACCTAGCAGTGTCAAAGTCCCTCTCTGAGTCCACATGGCAATTCAAATTCTAAAAGCTCGAATGTTTATTTCCTCGGCATGGGTGCTTTGAAATCTGCCCACAGCGAGCCTGTGGGAAAGGCAGCCTCCCAGTCCTTACCTTCCTTCCCATTCCCCACCCCAACTGGATACAGTGAGAGGAAGTGGGTTCTTGAAGGGTCTGCAGATGTACCCCACAGATGGTGCCTGGGAGAAACCCAGTCTTCCTACTGTTGTTGCCAAGTCCTGAATTTTGAAGCCCTAACCCCATGGATGGTGGAATTAGGTGATTAAAGGATTAGTGTCCTTATGACAGGGACCCCAAAGAGTGTGCTTATCTGTCCAGCACGTGAGACTACAGGGTTGTCAATGGACTCTTACCAGAACCCAGCCATGTGCAACTTGACCCAGACTTCCAACCTCCACACCACCAGAATCAAACACTTAGTATTCTAAGCCACTGTGTCCCTGTCACTAGGTTGGAGCAGCCCTCGATGTCTGACAACACATGCCATCACCACCGGCGCAGGGTACACCAGCCAGGGCAGGTGTCTACAAGCTGTAGGAACTGATGCTTAGGTCGGGAGCAGGGTCACACAGCTTCCCCGTGTGGATGACACTACACAGGAAGGAGCCCTAGTTGAGCAAGCAAAGCCAGTCACAAAGAACCACATGGTATGAGATGCTCAAGACAGGGAAATTCATAAGGGGCAAAAAGTAGACTGGTGGTTGCTAGGGGTTGGGGAGGGAGCAAGGGAGCCTGGTGTCTTTTCAGGGTGAGGAAAATGATATAAAATCAACCATGGGGATGTCTACACAGCCCTATGAATGTGCCAAAACCCACAGAACTTTTTACTTCAAGTGGGTGAATTGTGTGGCATGTGAATCACATCTCAGTAAAGCTGTTAAAAAATAAAAGTTTAAAAAAGTCCTTACCACACATTTTCCTGATTCTTTTAAAGCTTCAAACCAGACACAAGCTCCTAGAGAAGCTGCCTGGACACCTGTGTCCACAAACAGGCTCCGGCCTCCTGAATGCCCTCTCTGTACACTGACACTGGGGTCTTGCAATTGTCCTGTCCTCCAGAGGCAGGGCCTGCAGCAGGATGCACTGGACTGTGGTGCTCAGTTTGGGATGGAGTGTCACATTGAGTGGACAGGTGTGGCTGCTGTGTCCACCTGGAGGGAGCCTTGAGGTCAAATGCACTGGGCCAGTGTGAGGCCACCAGGAGTAGGATGGAATGTCATGTGCCCTCGACTAGAGGCCTAAAGTCTCTCTTCTCTTTCTGTGAGACCCAGAAGTCCCTGTGCTCCCAGAAGGAAGCTATGCCTCTTTTGCTGGGGAACACAGGGGCTGGAAGGTGTGTGGGCAGGGTCTTTTGTCACTTATCACCTACAAGTGACACAGGGTCAGGGGCTCTTCTTCCTGAGAAATTTCTTCTGTTCCACCCAGCGAACAACCCTGGGATGCAAACAGGAGCAGGTTGCACACCTGGGATCCCCACAGGGCCAGGGGCCTGTGCATCCAAGCCCATAGGAGTGGAGACAGGGCAGGTGGCAGGTCAGGGATGGGACTGAGGGTGTCTGGGCTCCCAACAGGCGAAGAGAGGTGACTCGATCTGTGGTGGAGGTTGAGCTATGGCTCAGGTGCTGTTACCTCCCAGGCCCCTTTTGCAACACTACAGCTGGGGCTGGGTCCAGGTGGGCACTGGAGGGGTCCAGCAGTTCAAGATTGTCCTCAGGGTCCACATGGGTCACAGTAGAAGGCTCCAGGGCCTGAGATCCTGGCTCGTGGAGGCCTTTGTCCATGTCACTGGCTGTGTACTGGTCATCCCCAGGTCTGACCAAGCCCAGGGATACAGAGGGCCATGGGACAATGAAACCCAAGTCTCACCACTTGACTCCTGCCTGCTCACATAGGATGCAGGCCCACTGAAAACTTCTGCACCCTACCCTGGTCATCTCAACGTTAGAACACACCCAAGTCCAACAAGCTCCAGCCAGCTCCCGGGCAGAGCTCTGCTCCAGCACAGCAGGCTGAGCTGCTGGGAGCAGCCACGTGTTTTTCTGCCGCGTCCCAGCCACATCTGCAGTCCTAGACTTGGTCTTGCTACAGAGGCAGCCTCTGAGAGTCATCCAGTGTACACATGTGATTGTGTGTGTGCAGGGCATAGTGTACGTGTGCACTCACTGTGTGTACACGTGCATGCATATCCACGTGCAGGTGTGTGCATGTGTTCACAAGTGCATATACACGTGTGCATGTGTATATCACGAGTGCATGCATATGTGTGCACACATTTCACAAGCACACAAGCATATGAAATTGCATGCACGTGTGTATGTACGTGTGTGTGGTTGTGTGGTTACATGGGTTTAAATATTTGCAACAGACATGAAATAGACATGAAATGTACAATCACGCTTCACTGTCACATGCAGGAATGGGCAATGACCACAACTACGCATCATACAATGTGGAAAGCTTTCACCAAATTCATAGTGGCCTAAATTTATCAGTGAGAATCCTGTAATGACATCTTCACTTCCCTGCCTTTGTTATCCCTTCAGTGGCTGTTGAGCTCAATTCTCTGCTGTCACTCCCCTCATAGTTAAAAACAAGAACAGTTTAGCTGTTATTTTTAACTTGCTCACACTTACACTTGGGCACAAAGCTTCCTAATTCTGGCAATTAAAAAAATACACTTTAAGCTAGGCTCACACCTGTGATTCCAGCCACCAGGAGGCTGAGTCAGGAGAATGGTGAAACCCTGCTTCAACTCCCCATTGCCCACTCCACCCCCAAAAAACAAACTAAAAATCAAAGCAAAACATATCCAAGGCTGGCAATTGTGCTCCGTGATAAAGCACTTGCCTAGTATGCATGAAGTCCTGGTTCCATTCCGGCACTGCAAACGTGCAAACAAACGACCCCCCCAACACAAACACACACACAAACGCTTCTAAAGAATTCTTAGGTCAAGGAAATATCAAACAAGTGACAACTCCACCTTCCAGTCCTTGCCCAACCTGCAAGGAAGAACCGGTCCTTCTGTGACTTTGTAAAAACGAAGGACAACAGGAAATGATGTCCTTAGAGCTCAAGTTAAGAAGTGACGAGACCATTTCTTTTGATGAACAGAAGCTTTTTAGCTTTATGAGGTCCCATTTATCTATGCTATCTCTTAGTTGCTGTGCTGCTGGGGTTTCGTTGAGAAAGTTCTTACCTATACCTACTAACTCCAGAGTATTTCCTACTCTTTCCTGTATCAACTTTAGAGATTGTGGTTTGATATTAAGATCCTTGATCCATTTTGAGTTAATATTGATATAGGATGATATACATGGATCTAGTTTCAGTCTTTTGCAGACTGCTAACCAGTTTTCCCAGCAGTTTTTGTTGAAGAGGCTGCTATTTCTCCATCGTATATTTTTAGCTCCTTTGTCAAAGACAAGTTGGTTATAGTTGTGTGGCTAGCATGTATTGCCCTTAATGCAGAGAAACTAAAGCAGATACCTAAAAGCAACTGAGGCCAATAGGAAAAGGGGACCAGGAACTAGAGAAAAGGTTAGATCAAAAAGAATTAACCTAGAAGGTAACACACACGCACAGGAAATCAATGTGAGTCAATGCCCTGTGTAGCTACCCTTATCTCAACCAGCAAAAACCCTTGCTCCTTCCTATTATTGCTTATACTCTCTCTACAACAAAATTAGAAATAAGGGCAAAATAGTTTCTGCTGGGTATTGGGGGGGGTGAGGGAGGGGGCGGAGTGGGTGGTAAGGGAGGGGGTGGGGGCAGGGGGGAGAAATGAACCAAGCCTTGTATGCACATATGAATAATAAAAGAAAAAGGAAAAAAAAAAAAAGAAGTGACGAAGCGTGTTCATCCTGGTGCTGGGAGTGAACGTTAGGCCCTGGCAGCGGAGGGGCAAAGGGCGCTGGACCAAACTCCTGGGTCCATTCCTACAGCTGGGTGCTAGTTCTGGGGTCCACGCAAGGATGCAGTTTCTGCTCAGTGCCAGGTAGGCTGTCTTGCATGCAGCTCTGTGGCCATCCCATGCTGGAGAGGAGGGGGATGTGGCACGGCCCCTACCCAGTTCTGGGAGGCAGAGAGGACCTGGGCTGCTGGACAGGGGAGCCTGGAGTCTGAGGGGGCAGCAGGATGTGGACTGCATTTTGGGGCTGTGCTTTTCTGCCACAGGAAGGTGACTGTGGACCTCCACCCTAATGAGCTCAGCCATGTGGGCCCCCAGCTGGCGGCATCTCTGCCTGGTCTTCCTGATTGTCTGTGTCCTCTCAGTAATCTCCTTCTTCCTCTACCTCAACTCAGGCCTTCTTACAAGTGCTCTTGACCTGTCTGTTCTGTGTCCAGACCACCACCCATAGATGTCGCCTGTGGTTTTTGTATGCCTGTCCAGTAGACCACTGGCACCCAATACCTCCTCTTCCAGTCCCCAGACTCTTGGCCCCATCTGGGGAACCTGGACCATCTTTCTAGATG